CAGAAGTGGAGCTAAAGAAGCCAAAAAGCAAGGTTACTACATGTAGAGACTTTCCCAGAACTGCTGACTTTGATGGATTAGGCCTTTGTTTCAGTTTTGGCAGGTGGTGAGTACTATCTTTGTGTAGTGAGATATCCACCCTGCCCATACATGTAGCATGGATGTAGGTGAGGACATGAAGGAGGACAGGACTAGATCTGGGGTCAGAGTGCTCTCTTGCCGCTGGTCGGGTCACAAGGAACAGCCTGGGAGGATCCTACTTCTGACACTAGATATTTTTGTGGGAATCTAGATTCACTAGACTCAGTACAGGTTAAGTGAAGTTTACTCACATATATCTATGTGCCGAGTTTTACAGCCTGAATGGCACTTCCATTTGTGCTAAGGTCTCAGGGCCTACCAAGGTCTGGGGCCCTGTTATATTCCCCATTGGTCTCAGGGAATGAGTCAAATTGTGGGCTCATCCTGTTCTAAAGAGGTGTAGTTAGTCCCAAAAACCCATTAATTTTACTGAACTGCTACATAATTGGCCATATAGTTTAAGATGCAGGGGCCTGCTGTTAATCTAATTAGAATGAGAGTTAAAGGCCCACCCACCACTGATAGCAGAGTAGTTATCCAGACGGACCAAGAGAACAGAGACTGGTACCAACTATTTCCCTGGCAAGATTTTTTCTAATTTTTCCTGATCAATTAGCATAGAAATAACTTCCTCCCAAAGTCATACATAGTTTTTTCAAACTTTGTTTTTCTGTTTTTAGTCTAATGAGAAGGCTAAGCCTCTCCAATTTTGTAGGATCATTTTTTCAAGTTAATATAACTGTTGTTTTAATTTAGAAATGGAAACTTTTTTTAAAAATAAATTTATTTTATTTATTAAGTATACAATATTCTGCCTGCATGCCAGAAGAGGGCACCAGATCTCGTTACAGATGGTTGTGAGCCACCATGTGGGTGCTGGGAACTGAACTCAGGACCTCTGGAAGAGCAGCAGCCAGTGCTCTTAACTTCTGAGCCATCTCTCCAGCCCTAGAAATGGAAACTTTTAATACTTCTATGTCCTGATCAAACTGTCTACTTAGTTTGGAAAGCATCAAGAGAGACACATTTAGTGAAACCATTAGCACATACCCACCAAGTAGTCTCAGAGGCCCAGTAATATTGTTCTTATCCATATGAATTAACCCATAAAGAAGAATAGTAGGCATCAGAATAAGGGAAAGTGTCTAGGTTAAAAGTTTTGGCTATTAGCTGGGTGGTGGTGGCACAGGCCTTTAATCCCAGCACTCAGGAGACAGAGGCAGGCAGTTCTCTGTGAGTTTGATGCCAGCCTAGTCTACAGAGCAAGAGTCCCAGGAGAGGCAACAAAGACACAGAGAAACTCTGTTCTGAAAAAACAAAAACAAAAAAATATTTTTGGCTGTTATATACATTTCAGTCCCTTATAAATTCTCTAATGTTTTGTCAGTCAATGGGCTAACAGTCTGAATAGTTTCTATCCTATGCAGTACAGGGGTTGGCTGTCTAAGCATAACCAATAATACTGACCTGTTTCTGTCTGGGAATGATTAACTCTATCTCCAGGGACCCTTCTTATGTCAGAGAATCCCCCCAGGTTCTTCCTGTTTTCCAAAGGCCAGAATCTTTTAAAAAGAATTTTTCAGGAAGTCTCAGTTTTTACAACCCCATTTTTTGCAATGGAAATTCTCTTGTTTCTGGCAACTAGGGGGCCCAGCCACACAGCATGAATAGAAGTGTAAACTCTGTACTCCTATCTTGTTTGTTTTGTTTTGCTTGAGACAGGGTTTCTCTGTAATAGCCTTGGCTGTCTTAAAACTCACTTTGTAGACCAGGCTGGTCTTGAACTCATAGAGATCTGCCTGCCTCTGCCTCCCAAGTGCTGGGATTAAATGTGTGTGCCACCACACCTGGTTTGTATATCTTTCTTTCTTTTTTTCTCTGTAGCTTTGGAGGCTATCCTGGAACTCACTCTGTAGACCAGGCTGGCCTCGAACTCACAGAGATCTGCCTGCCTATGCCTCCCGAGTGCTGGGATTAAAGGCGTGTACCACCAACGCCCAGCCTGTATATCTTTCTTAAAAGATAAATTCCTCTATCTTTCGTTTTCTTCATACAACCAGACACTTAAAGTGGGCATCAGTAAGAAGGTCAAGATGGAATATGGTTGCTCATCTGTAGCCATGCTAGCTAACACTCTTCCTGTATCGGTCTTCCTCAGTTCCAGGCCAGGCGAGAGGGTAGTGAGAGTTGGACCATGCATGACCCTGTAGTTATACCCAGAGTGCAAACACAAGACTCAGGAGGAGGTATAGAGGCACAAGTGGAAGGGCCCAGAGCCCAATGAAACCTTAGTTTCCATGGTTCATAATCCAGAGACAGCGCATTTGGTAGCGGCATCTGTGGCTTCTGCCTCCTTGACCTCGGTGCGATGCCAGCTGTCTTCACCGAGGTAAGAGTGGAGAGAATCGCCTTGCAGGGTCCTTTCTAGGTTAGTTCCAGCACACCTTTGGCTATTCACTTGGCCCAGACAGTATCACTGGACTTGAACAAGGAGAAGGAAACCGGTGGTGGACCCAGAGGTCGTAAATAGCCTTTCTGGAGAAAAGGAGGGCTGGAAAAAGGAATGGCTAGAGAGTTTTGCTAGCTGCTGGTCTCTGAGCCTGTGAAGCATTGGGGGAGGTCTTCCAAACCTAATCTCATGGGGGAGGGCAAATCCTCCATACATGGGAAGCAGAAGGCCAAAGCAAAGCAAAGGAAGGAGGTCTTTCTACCTTTTGCTGGACTCTAAGGAGAGTTTGTTAGAGCTTCTTCTTCTCCTTTTTTTTTTTTTTTACGAGACAGGGTTTCTCTGTATTGTTTTGGAGGCTGTCGGTCCAGCCCGGCCTCGAACTCACAGAGATCTGCCTGCCTCTGCCTCCCGAGTGCTGGGATTAAAGGCGTGCGCCACCACCACCCAGCTGTTAGAGCTTCTTTTAACGTCCTGTTTATTCTTTCTATCTGCCCCAAACTCCGAGGTCTATATGTACAATGAGGTTTTTAATCTATGTCTAAAGAGTTAGTTATTAATTGAGAGGTTTTAGCTAAGAAAGCCAGGCCATTGCCAGATCCCATAGCTAGGGAGAGGCCAAATCAGGGAACACATTCCTGAACAAACATTTTAGCTACTGTTTGAGCAGTTTTAGTCTGGGTGGGGAATGCTTCTACTACCTGGAAAAGGTATCTATAAAAACTAGCAAGCACTTTTATCTTCTCACAGCAGATGGATCTTGATGAAGTCATTTTTCCCAGGGATCACCAGGGTGTTTGGTGGTCTCTTATTTGAACCCCTTCCTGGGTAAGATCTTTCTGTTTTATATGTACTTGCACACAAACATGACATCTGGTTAAGACATCCAATGCTAGTTTGTGCAGTCTATGTATAACTTACCTTGGTCTAAGCAACTCAGAAAGTTTTGTGGACCCCAGATGAGTAGGCTGGTGAAGGTTAGTTCCAGGAGAATAATCTTTCCCCTGGTGTCCTCCATCAGCTGTGGATTTGAGCTGTTCCTTAATTTCTTTGTCATGGAGTGTCAGGCAGCACCAGGTGCTGGTATGTCATCAGAATATCAGCAGGCCCCACTGATTTTAGGGCTGTTTGTTGGCTATCCAGGTCAACAGCCTAGCAATGGAAGATAGCAATTTGTAGAGGGAGGTAAATAGCCTCTTGGAGGACCAATTGTTGGGGACCAGGTAATGTCCTTTTTCTCAGTTGTGAGATGCCCTTTTTTCCCCTATAGATTATAGTATGGACATACCTGGTAGTAAAAAGAATAATTAACTGATGGCCCATGTATATGGTGGTGGACTTTCCTTTTCCCCATCTGGAAGCCTGGGTCAGATTAACCATTTTTGCTCTCTGGGTTGAGGTACCTGGCTTGTACTCAAATCATTTTGATTAAATTAACTACCACAGCTCCTACATACCTACTTTCATGGTTCATCTGCCTGCCATGGATGAACACCTACATCATCAGGCAAGAGGGTAGCTGAATTGATGGGAGTGGGTTTCTCTAACAGGACTGGGGGTAGACCAGGAGTAGGGCCTGGTCCTGGGTCACACAGTCATTAGACAGCCAGCATTCTGAGGCTCCCCAGAGAACGGCCTCAGCAGTGTTGCGGTGTGCTGTGAGTCTAAGACCTCGACCCCGACCTAGCTTGTTTCTTTTATTAAACTAGCGGTAGCCACCACAGCCCTTAGACAAATGGGCCATCCTATAGCTACAGGGTCCAAGTGTTTGGACAGGTATGTCATGGGGCATTTCCATGGTTCCAAAGTTTGAATTAAATCCCCCTTTGTTGCCAGGTGTTGGTGGCACATGCCTTTAATCCTAGCACTGGGGAGGCAGAGGCAGGCAGATCTCTGTGAGTTCAAGGCCAGCCTCCAAAGCCACAGAGAAACCCTGTCTCGAAAAAACAAAAAAACAACAAAACATAGACACACAGATGAAAAGATTTTGAGACATCTGAAATTCTTAGGGCTGGGGCCGAGGTCAGAGCTGTTTTTAAAATCCCAAATGTCTTCTGTTTAGTTTCAGTCCAGACTCAAGGCTGAGTGCCCCCTTTGTGCTGGTGTGTAGAGGCCTTGCTATTATTTCTGCAGACTATGGTGTCCAGAGGGAGCAATAGCCAACTGTACCTAGGAACTCTTGAGCCTGTCTCTCCGTCTTTGGACCTGAGATCTGAAGGATGCAGCAATCTACTCTGAGGTAGGCTCCTTTTGCCTCCCCTCAGCCGGTAGCCAACATAGGTCGCCTTCTACAAAGGTGGGCTTGCTTCCTTCCTTCCTTTCTCTCTTCCTTCCTTTCTTTTTTTATGGTTACAATAGATATTTATTTAAAGCGAGGCATCTACAGAGCAAATAACTCTTAGATTGTGATTCAGGTTGAAACAACTTCTTAGAATATGCTGAGACCAGGCGCATCCGTAGATCAACTACAAGATCACTTCTTCGCCCTTTCTCCCTTCTCTTTCCTTTCCCGAATAACCTTTTTCAGATAGGGTTCAAGGTAGAGTTTGTCCTCCTCGTGCTTTGTCCACTGCTCCTTAGGCGAGATCTGATACCTCATGGTCAGGTCCAGGGCTCTCTTAATTCCAAACATTCTGTCATTATAAAGATTCTCAGGAAGCCTTCTTATGGCTGCTTTCACATCTCCAGTCTCATATGTTGTATCATCTCTCATTAAACCCAGCTTGTTGAATCCTGCATCGCTATAATACCATTTTTGAAAACCATCCAACCACTTGCTTGATGCTGCAGCAGCAGGTCTGCCTGTCATTTTGACCTCCAAAGGTGGGCTTTCTCAGCTGACATTTTGTAGCCCAAGGTCTGTAACTCTCATAGCAGTTTCTCAGTGGCTCTTTTCCCAGGTGACCTCTGACAGAAAGTGCAGGGAGTCTGCATTTAGTGTTTTTAGACCCTGGGGCAACCTGGTCCAGGTATGTCGCCCGCTGTGACCTCCCACTGGGTCTGTCCATTTGAAAACAAAGATGGGTTGACTCGAGTCTGCCAATGGGAGGCTGAAGAAAGCATCTTTCAGGTCCAAGACACTGTACACCTGTTTTTAGAAGAATCAGACTCATGAGTATTAGAGGTCCCAGGTTTCTTCATAGGCAGGAGACACATATTCCAGGATGACTGGCGGGACACCAGGATGCCTGTCTCTTTAAGCCAGACAATATGGGCTGCAATTTTCCCTTTCGTTTCCGGAGTCCTTGGGTATTGTTTAATTTGGACAAAGGTAGCTAAACTGGTTAGTTGAACAATTACAGGAGCTTGGTGTTGGACCAGTCCTGGGGGTTGGTTTCTTCCTACAGAGGGCAAGACACCAAAATTTTGCTGGGTATCTGTAAGTCTAATTGCATCTCATCATCAGAGAAGATGACAGTGACTTTCAGTTTATGCAAAAGTTCTCATTCCAATCAGTTCTCTATTGTTAAACACCTGTAAGCTACCTCCAGCCTCTGGTGCCTACTTATATCACCTTTGTGTGTATATCTTGGGTCTACGAGGTGATAAAGGAAATATTTTTAGTAGCTGTATTTAATCCTTTAAGAGGGATCTAGTGAAAGTTGTTTAAAGTCTCCTTGGTCAGTGTTGGACAGAAGGGAAAAATCTGTTCTGTCTATGCTGTGTTGTCTGATCAGGAACCCCTGCACAGCCTGAGTTTGTTGTTGTTTGTTTGTTTTTGTTTTGTTTTTGTTTTTTTCTCTTTTCAGAGACTGGTGGGTTTTAAAGATCACTAGCTGAAAAGATAACATAAATAATGAAAGAGAAAGGAGTAGAACTTTCTCTTTTCCTACTGGTTCAGCCTAGGGTGATTTTTCCCCTTCTCTGGGTCTGCTTGGAGCAGGCATGGAGCAGAGCAGAGGGAATGTTCACCAGGGGGAACTACTTCTGCTCTCCCTGTGAGCACTCAGCTTAGATGCAGGGAGTCCTGGATGAGAGGCCCAGCCCCTCCCTCCCTCCCTCCACACAGGGACCAACCCTGACCCTGAGCGGGAGTCAAGCCAAAAAACAAGCAAGAGTTCCTGGAGTGGAGCAGACAGAGTTCTTTTGGGTTTCTCTGGGTGACCTGGCAGAGCCAAAAGGTTTTGGGTCCCCAACAAGAGGGGGCACATGTCTTAAGTCAGGCTAGGGGAGGTTCTCCTACCAGAGAAAGCAATGTTCAATACAGGGAAGCAAAATTGACAGTAACACAAAGAAACACACACACACACACACACACACACATACACACACACACACACACAGAGAGAGAGAGAGAGAGAGAGAGAGAGAGAGAGAGAGAGAGAGAGAGGGAGAGGGAGAGGGAGAGAGGGAGGGAGGGAGAGAGAGAGAGAGAGAGAGAGAGAGAGAGAGAGAGAGAGAGAGAGAGAGAGAGAGAGGGAGAGGGAGAGGGAGAGAGGGAGGGAGGGAGAGAGAGAGAGAGAGAGAGAGAGAGAGAGAGAGAGAGAGAGAGAGAGAGAGAGAGAGAGAGAGTAAAAACAACACTAGGGGTGGCCACCACACATTTACACCTGGACAGACATAGGAAACTAGTGATGTCTCACATGGATCCTGGACACTAGATCAGTGGCCATGTTCTACCTGTCTAATGTGTCCAAACAGAAGGCGTCTTAACCATACTCACCTTTGGAGGTGACAGACAGACCAGGTGACTGTCTAATTTGTTTCCTTTTGGGGTAGAGGTGTCAGATCCCCCTAAATTGTTAGGTAAGGACTGGTCAAAGGGGAGCCCTGGGGACCTGGAACATCTCAGGTTGCACACACCACAGAAGTCCCCATGTCACCTGCACCCTTCCTTGCTCCAAGGGGCTTTGAGACTCCTGTCTGAAGATGTGATCTCTAGGATCTCAGTGCAACCTCCACAATTGTTTTGGGGTATCTACCAGAGGAGACTGCTCAGACATCGGTTTAAGCCAATAGAAAGTCTTTATTAACTGATAGGGACTACACTGGGTATTGCAGATCCCAGTGTAGCCCCCGCCTTTCTCAGGGTGAGCTTTTAAGCACAAAATCCATGTTGACATACTTCAGTTCATACGAACAGTTATCCAGAAGTGAACTACAAAAGCTGGGTTAATATATTTAGGGACCTTTCCAGAAGTATTGGCTTTGGTGGATTAGGCCTTGGTTCTAATTTTGGCGGGTGATACTCTTCGTGCTGAGTTTTAGAGCCTGAATGGCATTTCCATCATGGACTCAGCTGTGCTAAGTTCTTGGGACCTACTAAGAGTGGGTGCCCTGTCACAAGCAAGGCAATTTCTCTTGTAAGAAAGGATGTGGCCAGAAGCCAAAGTTGGCATCTGTTTTTATCTCTAACTCAATTTGTGTCTTATCCCATTAGTGAGTTTGATTTCATACTCTGAGGAGATTGGCTAATCAGCACAAAGAGAATGAATGGTGAGGTTGAGGGAATACTGACTTTTGTAGGACTAACTACCTTAATAGAATAAAAAATTTGTTACACCTGGACCAAACTCCTCCCTCTATCCTTGACAGTTCTTCTGATTCCCCGGGGCTGGAGCAGACTACACTAACTTTCTTTTTCTTCTTTTATTTCTTTTTTTGTGATAATCTAAATTAACAGGCTAACTTGACTTGTAGCTAAGAATGACCTTGAACTTCTGATCTTCCTGCTAAGCCTGGGTCACCACCCTCACCATACCCCCACTATTATTTATTTTATTTTGGTTTTCTTTTTTGCTAGAGTTTTCTGTGTAGCCCTCGGTGTCTTGGTGCTTGCTCTGTAGATCAGGCTGGTCTTGAAATCAGAGATCCATCTGTTTCTGCCTCCTGTCTCCTGAGTGCTGGTATCAAAGTCTGTCTGTAGGCAGAATTTTCTGTCCCGCCAGCTAGCTCCCAAATAACCACAGAGACTTATTATTAACTATAAATTCTCAGCCAATAGCTTAGGCTTGTTACTAACTAACTCTTACAAACTAAATTCTTATATATGTTCTGCCACATGACTCCCACTCCGTACACTTCCTCAGTGGGCATGCTCATCTTACTTCTTCCTGAGTCTCCTGGCAACTCCACTCACCTTCATCCCAGCACTCTCTCCCCATCTGAAAGTCCTGCCTAACCTCCTCCTGCCTAGCTATTGGTCATTTAGTTCTTTATTAAACCAAATGAGAGCAACACATCTTCACAGTGTACAAAAAGATTGCTCCTTCAATACTATGCCGTACGTTTATTTTTGATTTTATGAGACAAACTCTCAATATGTATCTCAGGTTGGCCTTGAACTTATGACTTTTTTTTCTTTTATCATTTTTTATTTTGATTTTAAATAGCTTGTTTTACATGTCAATCCCAGTTCCCTCTCCCTCCCCTCCTCCCGCACTCCCCTTCCCCCCCCAGCCTCCCACCCTATTGCCAATTCCTTCCACATAGGGGATATCTAGAGTCTGTCATTTCACTCTGGGTAGGGTCCAGGCACTCCCCTAAGAGTCCAGGCTGAAAGAGCATCACTCTTTGTGCTATGGGCACATGATGACTGTTTGTATTCCAGGGATAGACACTGATCCACAGCTCAGGGCCCCATAGGTTGCCCAGGCCTTCTCGCTGACACTCACATTTGGGGGATCCAGATTAGTCCCATGCTGGCCTCCCCGCTGTCAGTCTGGGGTCCAAGAGCTCTCCCCTGTTCAGATCAGCTGTCTCTGCTGGTTTTGCCAGCCCATTCTTTGCCAATTTGCTCAATACTCCCCTCTCTGTCACTGGGTTCCTTGGGTTCAGTTCAGTGCTTAATTGTGTGTTTGCCTCTGCTTCCATTAATCACTGGATGAAGGCTCCCGGATGGTTACAGACATCAAGTTCATTATCAGGAATTTTTTTTTTTTTTTTTTTTTTTTTGGTTTTTCGAGACAGGGTTTCTCTGTGGCTTTGGAGGCTGTCCTGGAACTTGCTCGGTAGACCAGGCTGGTCTCGAACTCACAGTGATCCACCTGCCTCTGCCTCCCGAGTGCTGGGATTAAAGGCGTGCGCCACCAACGCCCGGCCTGACCTTTTTTGTTTTTGGAGACAGGATTCCTCTGTTGCTGTCCTGGAACTAGCTCTTGCAGACCAGGCTGATCTTGAACTCACAGATCCACCTGCCTCCTGAGTGCTGGAATTAAAGGTGTGCACCACAATCTCCCAGTAAATTTAAGACCTTTTTGCCATAGCCTCCTGAATGTTAGGACTCTAAGCATAAGTTACTGTATTTCCCTTCTATTGTGTGTATGTTGTGTGTATATGTATGTGTAAGCATGTGTGCCATGACGCACAGATGGAGGTCAGAGAACAGTTTATGGGAGTTAGTTCTCTTCTTCCACCATGAGGGTCCTGGTGACTGAACTGAGATTGTCTTGGCACGGGGGAAGGGGGGGAAGCGCCTTCACCCACTGAAACATCTCACTAGCCTCCCCTTCTTTTTCTATCAATACATATTTTCTGCACATTTCACCTTTTTGTTTTTTTTTTTACTGAATTAAGTTCTGTATATAAATATGAAAAGTGTCCATCTTTCCTTCTTTCTTTCCTTTTTTTTGTTTTTTGAGACAGGTTTTCTCTGTGTAACAGCCCTAGCTGTCCCGGAACTTGCTTTGTAAACCAGGCAGGCCTTGAACTCACAAAGATCTGCCTGCCGCTGCCTCCTGAGTGCTGGGACTAAAGGCGTGCGCCACCACTAAAAGTGTCCATCTTTCTAAGATATGAAATGCAAGTATACATATGCAGTCATTTGTCCCCTGCCTCTCTATATGTTGCCTTTTGTCCTATAGGCTTTTATTTTTATATACTGTACCAGGGCCCCAGACCTAAGTAGGCCCAGAGACCTTGGCACAATTGACTCCATGATGACAGTAAAACTCAGCATGTAGACAGCACCACTTGCCAAAATGAAAACAAAGACCTAATTCATCCATAGTGCTGGGAAAATCTCTAAATGTATTATGTAGCAAGCCTTTTTTTTCAGACTATCTTTGGACTGCCAGCCCACAAATGATGACCCAGAGACTTATTACTAATTATGAAATCCTGTCCTTAGCTTAGGCTTTTTCCCCAACTAACTCTTTTTTTTTTTTTTTTTGGTTTTACGAGACAGGGTTTCTCTGTATTGTTTTGGAGGCTGTCGGTCCAGCCTGGCCTCGAACTCACAGAGATCCGCCTGCCTCTGCCTCCCGAGTGCTGGGATTAAAGGCATGCGCCACCAACGCCGGGCCTAATATTATATCTTGATCGTGTTATATTTCCTTGTATATTAGATATATTTTTTGGACTTTCTAATTGGTTTCATTGATTACACATCAACTTTAGCTCCATCTTTTGTTATTGTTTTCATACAAGAACTTACTGTGTAGCCCCAACTGGCCTAGATCTCACTGTGGAAAGCAGGCTGGCCTGGAACTCACAGAGATCCACCTGTCTCTGCCTCCTGAGTGCTGCGACTCCCTTTTTTTTTTTTAATAAGAAGAAAGAACAAAGTGTGGTGATACACAATTTTTAACTTCAGCCCTTTGGATGCAGAAATAAATGGATCTGTGTGACTTCAAGGCCAGTTTGATCTTTATAGTAAGCTCTAGTCCAGCCAGGACTACATCGTAAGACCCTGTCTCAACAAAACAAAAAACAAAACATCACCATCATCATTTGGGTGGACATACAGCTCAATGGTAGAGCACTTGCCTAGCATGCCTAACCTGCTGGAGGTCATAGGTTAAATCCCTGGACACGTACACAAACACAAATACACACCCCTGACCTAGAGTAATCAAATTCATAGAGATTAAAAACTAGGACCATGTTACCTTTGGGGTGTGGCTCAGTGGTAGAGAGTTTGCATAGCACGTATGAGGCCATCAAGTTAATACTCAGTACTGCAACAACCTCAGCAAAAAGGTAGCCCAGTGCTTGCCAAGGGGTGGTGAGAGAGAATAGGGAGTTACTATTTAATGGGCATGGATATTCAGTTTTGCAAGAGCAGAAGAGTTCCGAGCAGCTGAGTATATTGCCCAAGAGGAGAGCACTTGCACCGCATACACAAAGCCCTAGGGCTAATTCCCAGTGCCATAAAGTGAAAGCGAGCAGGCAAGCAGCAGGTCTGGAGCAGCATGGGTGGTGATGGTCACCCCAGCGCTTAATGCTACCTGAACTATGTATACTTGAAAGTGGGGAAGACTGAGAGTGGCCCAGTGACAGAGGGCCCTGGGGTTAGCGTGTGTGTGTTTGTGTGTGTGTGTGTGCGTGTGCGCACACACACACACACAGACTTTATGTTTAGTAGCCTTATTTTTATTTTTATTTATTTTTAACTTATTTTTATTTTACGTTCACTGGTGTTTTGGTTGCATGTATGCAGTGCTTGCCTGTCACTCACTCTCATTTAAAAAAATGATTTAATGTGTATTGGTGTGAGGGTGTCAGATCTCCTGGAACTGGAGTCACAGACAGTTGTGAGCTGCCATGAGGGTGCTGGGAATTAAACCAAGGTCCTCTGGAAGAGTAGCCAGTGCCCTTAACTGCTGAGCCATCTCTCTAGCCCCCATTTTTTTTAATGCATATTGGTGCTTTGTCTGCATGTATGTGTACCCATGTATGCCTGGCGCCTGAAGCTGAAGTTGTGAGCTGTTATTTGTGTTGGGAATTAAACCTCAGTCCTCTGGAAGAGCAACCAGTGTTCTTAAACACTAAGCCATCTCTCCAGCCAGCTTACCTGTTTTTAAATTTGTATTTTTCTGGTAATTTTTTTATTCTGTTTTACAATAATATGCTGCCTTTTGCAGGGAACATCACATTATCCATTCTTTTGGTATTCCTCACAACCCCACCGGACAGGCCATTGTGGAGCGCACCCATGCCACTCTCAAACAGTATTTTAAGAAAATAAAAAAGGGGGAGTATGTTACCTCCCCCAATATTCAGTTATCCACCATACTTTATATTTTAAATTTTTTGACCATAGACAGTAATAATTTGTCTGCCATGGAGAGACATTGGAACAAACCCTCCCAGTCTTTGGGATGGGTCAGATGGAAGGATTTGATTACAGGAAAATGGCAGCCACCCACTCCCCTACTAGCTAGGGTCCGAGGGGCTGTTTGTGTTTTCCCTCCAGGAAGTGAGAAGCCTATTTGGGTCCCCGAACGGTGCATCAGGCATGTTGACCCCAACTCTGCTCCCGACACTAGGAATGCTCGCCATGATAAAAATGATCCAAACATTGCCAAACTCAGGTAAGGGAAGTATGGACACTGGTGAGGAAAACCCCTCCCACCGTTTTGATGGCAGTTAGTCACTGCAGCTCCCCATTCATCGCCTTTATAACACTAATAAATACATTGGGAGTGGCTGCTGCCAACACGAGAGTCTGAGTTTCCCCTCCTAAAAGGGAAATCTCTGCTTTATTAAAAATATTTAATATCTCCATGATTAAACCCTCAGTTGAAAGTTGGATTGGATTAAATGTCTAGGCCCTCACCTAACAAAGGTCAAGGGAACCTAAGATGAAAAGTTGCCCTCAGTTGGAGGGTGGATTGGAGGATCATCCTCAATAGGAGGATAGATTAAAGATGGGTTAAAAAAAAAAAGGTAAAGTTAATAAATGAGGTATTAGTATTCAGTAAAGAAAAAGACAAAGGTATATAAAATAAAAATGTTTGGTTACATTTATATAGGGTAGGTTATTGAATTTTGTGAGTCATCTCTAAAAACTTTTGGCAAAAGCCTGGTCTTTCCACTTTGCATCTACAGAATTACAAGGAGTGGGCATGGCTGTAGCCCCTGAGTGTAGCTCAAAACTTCTCTAATGAAGAAATGATGAGGGACATACAGGACTTTTTCAACCTTTTGTTTTAATTCAAAGATTGACTGGAGTTGTTCTGTTAAAGAAGTTTCAGTTCAACAAACTAATCATAACCTAGGCAAGGAGAGATATGTATGCATGGTCTGTGTGTATGGACGTGGCAACATACTCTAAATGAATTTTTGAAGTGAGATGCTAAAAGTAGTTCGAGGAAATAATGAAAGGAAATGGGCCAGTGCCAGTGGCTTTTGGGTCTTGAATGAGTTGAAAGTTGGAGTATCGGAGAGAGAGCTAAAAAGGCAGGAGGTTAAGGAGGGGAAGGGAGATATAGTCAAAACTGACACTGTGGGCTCAGTGGCAGGCAGAGCACTTGCCTAGTGTATTAGAGGCCCTAGGCTCATCCTCAGCATCGCAATAAATAGATACATAAATTTTAAAAATTAACGGGCATTTCAAGAGGTCACAATCACTGGCAGTAAGAAATGTGGCAATGGGAGGCAGAAACAAGGATGGTCTGCAGAGGAGGGGAACCAGAAAGGCCAGAGCACTGCAAAAGTCAAACATCCTTGGTTGGAGACAGAGTTCAACACCCAAGACACTGACTGCTCTTCCAGAGAACACTGATTCAATGCCCAGCTTCCACATGGCAGCTCACTGCTATGTAACTCCAGTTCCAGGGGATCTGGTTCCCTTTGCTGGCCCGGTGGGCACCAAATACACGAGTGGAGCACAGACATACATGCGGGTAAAACACCCATACTCGTACAATAAAATTTAAAAATAATAAATTACTTAGGACTGGTCAGATGATGTAGAGGTTAAATGGCCCTTACCTCCTGGGATTATCATCTGAGTTCAATTCCCGAGACCGACATGGTGGAAGAGAACTGACTTGCTGAACTGGAAGTCTTCTGTTCTCCACAGGTATACTCCCCATAATGCCCAAATACACACAAATAATAAATATAATATTTTTAAGTGTTTGAGCTGGGGTGTGGTGGCATATGCCTTAAATTCCAGCATTCAGGAGGCAGAGGCAGGAGGAGCTCTGTGAGTTCCTGGCCAGACTGGTTTGCATAGTAAGTTTCAGGACAGCCAGATTCTGTAGAGACCCTGTCTCAAATAAACAAAACAAAACAAAACAAAACAAAATCGTGTAACAATAAGCTTACATCACCAAGAATGATGACAATAATAATTAATGACCGGGAATCAGAAATTAAATTTTAAAAATTAGAGTGAGGGGCTGGAGAGATGGCTCAGAGTTTAAGAGGTCTGGTTGCTCTTTCAGAGGTCCCTGGTACAATTCCCAGCACCCACAAGGCAACGCACAACTGTCTGTGACTCCAGTTCCAGGGGATCTGACACCCTTACATCAATACACATTAAATAAATTAAGAAAAAAAAAATGAGAGCAAGCACTGCAGTCTCCTGGAGGTGGTGAGGTTTAAAGCTCTTCCAGTCAGAAAGGCTTGACCTGCTTCAGACGGCGTGGAGCCTTTAAGGACTCTCGCTATAAGACAGGAGAGTCTACGCTAGGACAGGGCGGAGTCTCGAGGGGGGCGGGACGAGAGGGCGGGGCCTTGTAGGGCGGGGCGCGGCACCACGGGGAGAGGGGCGGGACTTCTAGGGGGTAGGGCGCGGTAGGCACGGGAGAGGGGCGGGACCTCGTGGGGGCGGGGCGCGGAGGGCACGGCAAGCGAGGCGGAGTCTGTGTTTCGGTCAGGCTGCGGCTGCGGCTGCGGCTGTGGTGCTGTAGTTCAGAAGAGCGAGGCCGAGGCCTGGGCCCTGCCCGGAGCCGCTGCCCGACCCGAGCCTCCTGGAGCCCCCGCGCCGGCAGATCTTAGGGGCGGGCTCGGGCTCGGCCCGCCACCACACTCAGGACCGAGGCTGCATGCCGGAGGACCAGGCCCACGCAGCCATGGTGAGATAGCGCGGCCTGCCTACCCCCCCACCCCAGCCCCCGGGTGGCCCGAGGACGCAGGGGCAGCCTAGCCTCCTCACCCTTCCTCCCGCACCCTCGGCCTCCGCCTCTGGCCCGGCGTTCCCCATCCAGCAGGAGCGAATCCTTTTAGGGGGCATCCTTTAATCTCCCTTCTCTCCGTGACACCCATTTGTCCCCCCCTCCCCGTGACAGCCTCCTTAGTCCCCGTCCTAACCCCTCTTTTCTTCTCAACCATTCTCTTTCTCCTCTGTGATCGTTAGCCCCCCCTTCCTTCCCTGTTTTTTGTTTCCACATTTTGCTTACTTTCCCTTCTCACCCCTCTTCACCATTTTATCTCCGCCGCCCCCTCTTCCCCTTGGTCCTCGACCATCCGCATTTCCTCTGCCCCTTGTCGGATGTCCTCGTCGCCGGCTAGCACCTCTGTCCCTATTTCCTTCTTCAGTCTTCAGGGGGCTAAGCAGGAACAATTTGAAGGCGATTGCTTCCCGGGAGCTGTTGGGCGGGCACGAACAGATTCGTAGCCTGCCTTTCCCTTTTCTGTTTTGGAGGGCGGAAGCGGGGAGATTGGAGGTATGGAGGAATAGTCTGGAAGCTTTACTACCTAGTGTCATTGCAAAAACATGAGTGTTAGTGTGTTACATAGTACATATTGTGGCCTTATGTGGACATCTGGCCTTTTGACAGAAGTATCTAAAAAGGTTTTGAAATTTTTTGAGTGTGTTTTCATGTGGAGTTACAGTTCGGGAAATTAAAAGCCTTTTTTTAATTTGCAAGCTTGACAGTTATTGCTCAGAACAAATGATTTGTTTTTGTTGGGAGGCAGAGACCAAGGGCATTTGAGGTCTGAAAATCAGCTTGGCAGTCATATTCTGACAGGTTCTGAATTCCTTCCTTCTAAAGGGTGCATTTGTTTTGCCCTTTCTGTCCTTTCTTGGAGGAACCTTTTCTTTGCAAATTTTCCTTGTGCTTCAAAATGGCTGTGACTACAGTCCATTTTTTAAGTGAGTTGAGTTACCTGTGTTTTGCAGTATATATTGAAAACATCATATACAATAAGCTAAATTTTGATTTACATTCTAGTCAAAGGAATAATACATTCTAGTCAAAAGAATTCAGGCTAACCATAGTTTCCTGGTTTCTATTTTCCTCCATCTGGTTTTTAAGAAAGTAATTTACTGTCTGGCTATTTAACATATAAACATTCGATAACTCATTTGACTTGACTCTGCCATTCATACATTGTCATTCTCCAGTGACTGCCTCCTTCACTTTTATTACTGTCATTGTGTGCTAATCTGTTCCTTCCCATAGAATGTAGATTCTGGAAACAACTGTGCCTTACTTAATTCCCTTTATTCTCAGGGCCCAGGTCAGGTAGATACTTGAATGATTCAATTTGTGGTCTCATTTCCCCACCTGACAAATACAGTCTCACACTGAAATTTGAGGCACCTAGCAGACTCTTCAGGGTGCACCAAAACATCTTGCTTTTGGTGCATAAATAATATAATGCCAGCACCCAAGAGGCAGAGGCAGGAAGAACTCTGTGAGTTTGAGGCCAGCCTGGTGTACAGAGAAAGTTCCAGGACAGGCTACAAAACAATACAGAGAAACCCTGTCTCCAAAAAACAACAGCAGCAACAACAACAACAAAAAAGGGAATATAGTGGGATTAGTATAGTGACAGACTAAAGAGTCATCTTGCTGGAGAAGATACTAGGCTTAGACTTTTGGAAATGTGGGCCTTCCCACTAGGATTCAGAAGAGTCATTTGAGGTAGGCCTAAAAGAGGAATAGAATTTATATGCAATATTTGGGAAAGAAGAAGAAAGCTTCACTATAAATGTGAGTAGAAGATGAACAAAATTTAAGATGTGAAAGCTAGGTGTGGTGGTGAATGCTTTTATTTTAGTCCCAGCACTTGGAAGGCAGAGGCAGGTGGATCTTGGAGTTGAGGCCAGCCTGGTCTACAGAATGAGTTCCAGAACAGTCAGGGCTACACAGAGAAGCCCTGTCTCTGGGGGCGGGGGGGGTGGGGAGGAAAGAAAGGATTTGAGTATCATCAGAAGACAAACTTAGAAACAACAAAACTTTAAAAGTTTCGGAGCATAGGATATCCAGGGACAGGCACCAACACATTCATTGTCTGAAAGGTGCTTTCTTTTTCTTTTCTCTGTGTGTGTTAACATGTATATAGTATATATACATGCATGTGTGTCAGTGCTCGTGTACATGTATATTTATGTATGCATGTGTATGCTTGTAGAGGCCAGAGTTGTTTTTTTTTTTAATTCAAATTTCTTTCAGATTTTTAATGTGAGTGTTTTGCCTATGTGTATAATGACTACTTCTGTGCCTGGTGCCTGTGGAGGTCAGAAAAGGGTGTCAAATCCCCTAGAAGTGGAATTATACATGGTTGTAAGCATAAATTGAACCCTGGTTCTTTGAAAAAGCAACAAGTGTTCTTAACTGTGAGCTATCTCCTAAATCCCTTTACTTATTAATTTTTTGAGACAGAATCCCTTACTGAACCTGAAGTTTGTGTATTTGGCTGGGCTGGTAGGCCAGTGAGCTTCAGGGATCCCAGCACCAGGGTTATAGGCACACATTGCCATGCCCAGCTTATGTGGGTGCTGCAGATCTGAATTCCGGGCCTCATGCTTTCAAGGAAAACATTTATATGACTGTTGTGTCCCAGCCCCTTCTTTTACTGCTCCCCTACAGTAAAGCCTCAGTGTAGCCCATGCTGGTTTAAAACTCACTATGTAGTAGAGGATGATCTTGAATTCATGATCCACCTGCCTCAGCCTCCCTAGTGCTGAGATTTTAGGTGTGTGCCACAATATGTGGTTTATATTGAGCTGTGTATTGAACCCTGACCCTTGTGCATGCCTGATGACTCTGTCATCTGAGCTATATTCTGAGTCGTATCCCATTTCCCCCTCCCCCATCACCTTTTTTATTATAATTTATTTTTTCAAGACAGTTTCGCTGTGTAGCCCTAGCTGTCCTGGAAGTAGCTCTGTAGACAAAGCTAGCCTCGAGTTTAGAGATCCGCCTCCCTCTGCTTTCCAAGTGCTGGGATTAAAGGCATATGCCACCACTGTCCGACATCCTTTTTTGAGACAGTCTTGCTACACGCAGTACTGGCTGACTGGAGGGTGTCTTTCTACCACAGCCTCCTGAGTGCTGGCATGCACCACCATGTCCAGAGTCTTGTGGGAGTTTTGCCCTGGTTCATAGATGGATGTTTGCTCTGTATCTGTATGTGGTGGATAAGCAAGGCTGTTCTCTGGGGTTCTTTTATATAAGGGCACTAGTCTCATTTGGAGGGTTCTGCCTAATCACTTTCCAAAGGTCCTGCCTCTTTAGGCTAGGTAGACATTCATTTATGAATTTGGGGAAAACACTTGTAGACCACAGCGGATAATTGGGCATTATTGTGTTTTAAGCTTCATATTCAGCTAACTTAGAGGGAAAATCCTGGCCTGTTGTGAGCTGGAAATTACTAGTAGAGGCTACTTTTTTTTGTTCTTGTTTTTCTTGCACAGTACATTTGATATATATTTAATAAATAATTGAATGATTATTATAAGGCTTTGTAATATTTATTTTTCAGTTGTTTGTTATGGTACATTTTTGATACTTGAGATATTTAAGGCCAAGGTTCTCAGTTTACTGTGAGTCAGGAAGGGTTTGCTGGGCTTCCTACCTCCAGAGTTTGATTCATTAAGTTTGGAGTTGAGCCTGAGAGTTGTATTTCCTACAAGAACTCTTGTATTGCTGATACTTCAGACCTAAGATACAGCCCTGACCTTTCATTCATCTGATAGTGTTTCTGCCATTTGACTCTGTTTGCATTGGGAATATCACAGCTGTGACACAGGTGTGGTCCCTACCTTTTTATATCTTTGTGAATGTGAAGGGTTTTAGCATTCTTAAAATGTGCTAAGAAAGACATGGTGGCATCATGGAATATGATAGTGTGGCTTTGGAAAGGATCCTTCTTTCAAGTGAAGACTCAAGGAATTAGATTGGAGTTCTGTTGTGGAGAGGCTAGTATAATGAGAGGAACCACATGTGCAGTGGACTTGCAGTCTAAGAAATTCACGGGAACCCTGATCGTCCTGCTTACTCCTCAAAAGACAACAAACAAAATAACAACAAAACCCCTAGGTCGCTGGGTGTTGGTGGTGCATGCCTTTAATCCCAGCACTCGGGAGGCAGAGGCAGGCGGATCTCTGTGAATTCGAGGCCAGCCTGGTCTACAGAGTGAGTTCCAGGCCAGTCTCAAAAAACAAAAACAAAACAAAAAACAAAAACCCTAGGTCACACCCATCTCTGTTATGCAGTTCTTTCATAGGATATATATATCAGTTGCTATGTTTTTATATTTCTTTTTTTTTTTTTTTTTTTTTTTTTTGGTTTTTCGAGACAGGGTTTCTCTGTGGCTTTGGAGGCTGTCCTGGAACTCGCTTGGTAGTCCAGTCTGGTCTCGAACTTACAGAGATCCTCCTGCCTCTGCCTTATTTTTATATTTCTGTCATTGTTGATTATTAGAGTCTGTCTCATCTGATGCACAGATGGTTTTTGGCCAACTGCAAAGAATTGGGCAATATTGTATAGGCACTTTGGTTACAGTGTTTAAATAAACAAACATAAATAAATAAAGCTGGACTCAGTAACATATGCCTTTAATCCCAGCATTTGGGAGGCAGAGAGAGGCAGGAGAATCTGTTTGAGTTAAGGCCAGCCTGGTTTACATAAGGAGTTTTAGGACAGTGAGGACTACATAGAAAGATTCAGTCTCGAAAACAAAATCCACATGAGGAAATAGTGAGTGGTTAAGAGCACTTAATGTTCTTCCAAGGGACCCAGGTTCAATGTTCATCACCAACATTGGGTAGCTCACAACTACCTGTAACCCCAGATATTTGATAACTCTGGTCTCCACAGACACCAGCATTTATATGCACATA